GGTGACTCACCGAGTAAATGCACTTCCCGCCAAGCGGATGGACTGAGTTCGAGACCCACGTGTGGAAGGGGAGAGCCTGCTCCAGCAGTTTGTTCGCTGATCTGCGCTTGGACGCACATTCGTATACAGAAGTTAAGAAAGAGCCATAATAAAACTATTTTTAAAACATTTTCGTTGTGAAACTTGGACCGTCATATAAATGAAAGGTGAGATATTCAAGAGAAAAAAAAGATGAAAAGCTTTTTACTACTTACTATTACCAACAAGCCCGGGGCTGCTGAGAGTGTTAAGCCGGTAAACGTGAGGACCTGAATTCTATGCCAAAATCTCCCCCACCCTATCCCCGCAAAATGTCTTGGCGTGTTTGTACATGTAATTTCGTTTCCGGAACATAGACCAATCCCTGAGACTAGCTGGCCAGCTACTGGGAAGCACACCAGAAATTGGTCCATGGCCTCTACCTAGCAAACATAGCACAAAAAAGGAAGATCGGGTTAGTAAATAAGTTGTATGGTATATTACTTTGCCCTGGAGGTTGGGAGAGGGAAGAATACCGCGCATGCACACACACACACAACCCTCCCCTAATAATTTGTTTTTCGAGACAGGGTTTCTCTGTGTAACATGGGCTAACCTCCATCTCACAGAGATCCATCCTCCTGCATCTGCCTGGGATGAAAGGTTTGTTCCACCCTGACAAAAATAATTTTAAAATTATCCCTGAGCCATGTTGTCGTGGTGGCCTATGCCTTTAATCCCAGGAGAGGCAAGCAATCTCTGTAAATTGATCTTAAATTAAAAAAAAAATAAGAGGGCTGGAGAGATAGATGGCTCAGAGGTTAAGAGCATTGCCTGCTCTTCCAAAGGTCCTAAGTTCAATTCCCGGCAACCACAATCATCTGTAATGGGGTCTGGTGCCCTCTTCTGGCCTGCAGGCATACACGCGGACTGAATATTGTGAAAGAAAGAGAAAAAAAAGAAACTAACCTAACTTACCTAACCGTCACATGCACACACACCCTATGAGATTCTCAAGATTTTACAGCAAATGTATTGCAAAAATAGGAACAGAACCAGGTATGTAGAATTTTACAATTAAAACTTACTCAACTCTTGGGGCCCATTTTGATGTGAATTTGACCAAACAATAGTGTTAGATTACCATACTATTTGCTTTACCATTTAGGCATAAATTACTTAAGGTTATGCAAATCCAGATAATTGCCTCCTACTATCCTCGTTCTGTAAACATACTAATCTTTAAATGAACTTTAAGTCTAACAAACACTCATCTGAAATTCAATGACGTAAGCCTAGATTAGAGTTGTGACATTGCTGGTTAAAATACCAGCCCCTCCCCCCTAAATCCTGTGCTTTTCTTTGCTGACCTCTTTGGTTTGCGGTTGTCATGCTGTTATGAAATGGAATGTCTGCCTAAGAGCACTTTGCATTACAGTTCTCTCCAGGTACAGTTTGGGAATGTTGATGTCCTGTTCACTTAGGCATGCAGGTATGCATCTTCACCTTTCCCCATGCTCCGAGATTCTTGGTAGGTACTTGACACGGTGTAAGGTGTAAGTCTAACTGCTATGTGAAGAAATTGTTAGGGTCATCATGTACTCATCCCAAGTGAGACCGTGTACCAGGTCCTTTGTATTGCTGGTGAAGGCACCTTCGAGGTGCTTTCAGAAGCACTGAGATTGTATCTCGATTAATAGAGTACTTGCTGACCACACACTAAGTCCTGGATTCAGTCCCCAGTACCACCTAAAGCTGGGTGTGCTGATGCATACTGTGTAACCCCAGTGCTTGGGGGGCGGAGGGAGCCAGATCAGAAGCTCTAGTTTTAGGTCACCTTTAGTTCCATGGCAAGTTCAAAGGCTTGAAACCTTGTCTTAAAAAAAAAAAAGGGTAGGATAGTTAGATAAAGAACATATTAGCTGGGGGCTGGAGAGATGGCTCAGAGGTTAAGAGCATTGCCTGCTCTTCCAAAGGTCCTGAGTTCAATTCCCAGCAACCACATGGTGGCTCACAACCATCTGTAATGGGGTTTGGTGCCCTCTTCTGGCCTGCAGACATAAAGACAGAATGTTGTATACATAATAAATNAAAAAAAAAGAACATAATAGTTGTTCACAAGTGTGAACATACTTTTAACAAACCTTAACTTTGGGTCATAAAAACATCATAGACCGTATTAATCCTTTTTTTTTATGGAGGATAACACTAGAAAGAAAATGATTAACTTTTCAAAGATTAAGTAAAACCAAATGTGGTCTCCCATGCCTATAGTTTTAACAATCAGGAGGTGAAGACAGGAGAGTTAGGAGTCCTTGTGTGCAGAAAAAATTCAAGGTTAGCCTGGGCCACTCAAGACCATGTGTCAAAAATAAATTAGGATTGAAAGTTGAAGTCTGAAATATTAACTGAAATTTGGAGACAGGTACAAATGAAGCCTTGCAAAGTAGAGCGGAAGCAAAACCAGAAGGCTGGACAGTGGCAAGCAGAGTTGGCTGGCAAATAATTTTCACTAGAGGAAAGATCAGGCTGGCCTTGAGCTCACAGAGATCCACCTGCCTCTGCCTCCAGAGTGCTGGGATGAAAGGCGTGCGACACCATGCCCAGCTCTGGTTTTGGTTGTTTAGTTTTTTTTTTCTTTTTTCCTGTTTAGGACAATTTTACTTTGTACATTTCAGCTCTGCTTGGGCTATTTTATGGCATGCATGAAAAGTTCTTTTTAAATAATAAACTATTTTTTTATTTAGTATTGTATTTTCAAACTAGTGTCTTGTAAGACATCAGTTAGGTAACAAGGCCCAGGCTTAATAGGCTCCAAGACCTTAGCACAACTGACTCCATGATGGAAGTACCATCCAGGCTGTAACACTCAGCATGTAGACAGCACCACCTGCCAAACCTCCATGAATTAAAAAGGACAGAGCTAGTTCCAGGACAGCCAAGGTTACAACCTACAAACCCTGTCTCAAAAACAAACAAAAAACAAAACAACAAAAACCCTCCACACCAAAGCTATGAAATGTACATGCCTTTGACTTTGGCATCTTGATGTTATCACTCTTTTTTTTTTTTTGGTTTTTTTTTTGGTTTTTCAAGACAGGGTTTCTCTGTGGCTTTGGGGCCTGTCCTGGAACTAGCTCTGTAGACCAGGTTGATCTCGAACTCACAGAGATCCGCCTGCCTCTGCCTCCCTAGTGCTAGGATTAAAGGCATGCGCCCCCATTGCTCAGCTTGTTATCACTCTTGAATTGCTTCTTTGTATCTAGCATTTCAGTGGAATGTTGAGAGAATAACAAGTAATTATGAGAGAAGAAAATTAACAAAAGAATCTTCCTTGTTTCTCCTTCACCAAAATTGCTACCCCAAGCTTCTGAAAACAAAACAAGGTTGAAAACCACAGGCACCTGCATGCATCGAGCTCCGTGTTTTGTTTTGTTTTTCCTTTCTTGCTATGAGAATTAGAAGTGGCAGGCTGCATTCCTTGTGAGAGCACAAACGGCTCTAGCAAGTTCATCTGCTGGTTGTTGGTTCAGTGCATCTACCCTTGCTGTCCTGCGGTTAAAATGATATTCATTAACAATCACTTGATGTTCGCAGTAAGACACGCCTCGGTGCTTTGTGTGACTCAGCCTTCATATTCTTACCAGCCACCTGCACGTTAACCATGCTGATAAATGTGTTGATAAGAAGGGGCACCATGAAAACTTGGCAAATGATCAATGTGCCCTCGTCCAAGCATTCAGAACACTGAGGGGGGGGGGGGGAGAGAAGGGCAGCTATCCACCTACCCGCCCTTCCTACTGATAGTAGAGGCGGTACTCCTGTAGCCCTTCCTGCTCAGCTGAGGGGTGTTTCTGATTCCGTCTTCACAGACTACATCTCATATCCTTGAATCGAGCCAGCCAGAGTAATGCTCTCCCTCTCTAATTTTGTTTTGGTTTTTCGAGACAGGGTTTCTCTGTGGTTTTGGAGCCTGTCCTGGAACTAGCTCTTGTAGATCAGGGTGGTCTCGAACTCACGGAGATCCGCCTGCCTCTGCCTCCCAAGTGCTGCGATTAAAGGCGTGAGCCACCACCGCCCGGCTTGATCTTGCCATTTTCTAGCTAAGGTAGCATAAGGTTTTTATACCCTTTGATACAAAGAACCAAGCGAGAATACTTCCTCCGTGTGCTTGCTATAGTGGACACTTTTGGAAAATAAACTGCTATCTATGAACTTGGTCTTTGGGTTAATTGGTTTTTTCTTCCTTCCTTCCTTCCTTCCTTCCTTCCTTCCTTTCTTTCTTTCTTTCTTTCTTTCTTTCTTTCTTTCTTTCTTTCTTTCTTTCTTGACCAGGCTAGTCTTGAACTCACAGAGATCCATCTGCCTCTGGGATTAAAGATGTGCACCACCCAGAAAGTTGCTATTTCTTAGGGTCATTTTTTATTTTGGGGGGGTCTCTGTAGCTTTGCAGCCTGTCCTGGAACTAGCTCTTGTAGACCAGGCTGGAAAAGTGGCTCAGCACGTAAGGGCACTTGCGTAAATTGCTCTTCCAGACATCCCAGGTTAGGTTCCCAGCACCCACGTAGAGGCTAACAACCATCTCTAACTCCAGTTCCAGACGATCTGATGCCCTCTTCTGGTCTCTATGGGCTCAAGGCACACAGGTAGCACACAGATCACCCAGACGTGTAAAAATAAAAATTAATGCCTTGGTGTGGTAGTGCACACCTTTAATCTCAGCACTCAGGAGTCAGAGGCAGGTGGATCTCTGTGAGTTCTAGGCCAGCCTGGTCTACGAAGGGGGTTTCAGGACAGCCAGGACTATGTAGGGACCCTGTCTCAAATAAGAAACAAATTAAAATAGTAATCTCTTAATTAATTAAAAGGACAAAGCAATATTATGGGTACCGCTCCAGATCGAAGCAACCAAAAAGAAGCACGGTACCAACGCCATGGGTGTAGCTCTGGATGGATCAAGAGCCCGAGGGTGACTGTGGACGGCAGGTCTAACAGTTCAGAATCCGTTGTTGAACTTCCTTGTGGTAACTATGTTGGAGTTATGTAAGAGGATAAGGCTGTCATAGCACATCTAGTCTACCAATCAATAGCCTCTGGCTACAGCCGCCGCCTCCCCCTCCCTGGCTATTTAGGACGTTTATTCACACCATCCCTCCCAGTGTTTAGCTCTGTCCCTCATCCCATCTCGGAGTCTTTTCCCATTTACTTCCCCGCACCCTCCGCCTCCTGTCCAGCTGGTTCCTTGGTTTTAGTTGTCCCTACTCTTGCCCGCTGGTCCTCCAGCTGTCTGGCACTCCGCCCTCCCTGCTTCTATCTGCCTGTCTCCTCGCCCCTCCAGGTGCGCACCCAGTACCCAGGGCCCCCGCTGCGCGCGTGCGCCTTGAACTCTTGGGCAGCAAGATCACACAGTTGGGAGAAACTTCAGCGGCTGGGCTTGCGGTGAGCATCGCATCCAAGCCTCGCGACCCATACTCGCGGGAGACTGGGCCAGGTGACTACCCTTTGGCGCAATGGGCTGCTCCAGCAGCGCCCTCAACAAGGCGGGCGACGGCAACAGGTTCCGCAGCGGAGGTGAGCAAGGGCCCCACACCGGACCCACTCCGGCTTGGGGAACTGCGTCTGGGGGGGATTCTGTGTTCTGCTGCCCCGAGGGTGTAGCCCTGGCTCAACCTCGCCACCAGGGGGCAAGCTCCTTCCCTGAGAAGGAGAGCGCTGAGACTGGTGTGTCCATCCGGGTGCGTCTGCTGTAGGACGCTGGGTGCCAAGAGTTGGGAACTGCCTTACCTCTCGGCGCTAAATTACTGAGCTAGCTGCGACATTCTCTTCACCATACAGAAGAGAAATACCCCGTTGAGAATTCTATTTTGCTCTCACGTGGACGGTTCAGCATCACCGGATGATAAAAATGCAGAGAACACACACACACACTTTCTCTTTCCCCCTTCCATATACTAAGTTTCTCCAGAGGTTTTTGGAGTTTTTTGTTTGTTTTGGTTTAGTTTGGTTTTGGTTATTTGAAACAGGGTTTCTCTATGTAGCTTTGGAGGCTGTCCTGGAACTCACTGTGTAGACCAGGCTGGACTCGAACTCACAGAGGTCGGCCTGCCTCTGTCTCCAGAGTGCTGGGATTAAAGACGTGCGCCGCCACCACCCGGCTTCCTCCAGAAGTTTTAAAAGGTCACACACACTTTCTTGAGGCATGTGTGTGTGTGACGGAAGGTAGTCATCACTCATTGCTGTAAAGAAATTCTGCCAGCACATTTTAATCATCTGCTTACTGTCCACAGATGCCGGAGTTGCCCCGGTAACTCAGGGAAGCTGAGAATACAGTATAAACATGGGAGACAAGTTATCAAGTCCATTCTGGCAGTGATAAACACTGTAGAAAGAACAGATGTAGATGAATGAACTCGAGAGTGACTGCATTTCACAGTCAGCCCACTTCCTAAATTATAACTTGCTAGCATTTAGGGCATTGATAGTTAAGTGGATTCTTCAAGCAGCTTGTATAGTCTTCAGCAAGGCTCACTTTAAAGGGCAAATTTATCTTCTAATTCCTTTTCGCGGGGGTGAGCATCCTGTGTTACTACAGTAACAGTGATTTTTGATTGTTTTGTTTGGTGGCAGAGACCCTAAGATTATCATGGAAGCTGCTTCAGAGCTCAGCCTATATAATATGTTCTACTCAGAAACATGTAGCTGTTGTTTTTTTGTGTGGTGTGGCCGATGAGATTTCTGCCTTCTGTAAACAAGCAGAAAGCCAGGAAGTAGACAAAACAGTACGTGCAAATGATTCAAATCCCTTGAATACGGACAGTATAAAGACACGGAAAGTCTATTCCTAGTGCACAGTGCCTCCTGACTCTTTTCCCTAAAAGAGCTCGGAAATGCTCATAGCTCAACAGGCTCCTTCGAGGCCAGTGCACTCAGAAACTGTCTTCATGTTCGTGCCTCATTTTATAAAACCAGATGGATTTTTTAATATTTATTATTTATTATGTATATAATGATCTATCTGTGTGTATCCCGAAGGCCAGAAGAGGGCACCAGACTTTATTACAGATGGTTGTGAGCCACCATGTGGTTGCTGGGAATTGAACTCAGAACCTTAGGAAGAGCAGGCAATGCTCTTAACCACTGAGCCATCTCTCCAGCCCACCAGATGGATTTTTGCACTTGCTCCATGGTAATTCCTTAGTGGTATCCACATGCGAAACATAAGAAACACTGATGCGTTCACGAGATAATATCATCACAGCTTCTCTGATCCACTCTCAGCCGTCTCTTGGGTTAAAAAGCAGAGCACTTTGTTAGAGTGGGTGTAGCTCAGTGGAAGAGCCTGTGGGCATGCCCAAGGCCCTGGGCAAAATGCCCAACACACACACACACACACACACCAGGAATGTAACTATGTAACTCAAGGACTGGCAAATGTATCTAATCAATAGAATGGGAGCTTTACTTCTCTAGTTCAGAAAACATTTGATCACTGTATTAACAATTCATATGAGTTAAACTCTTATTTTTTACCCTTGCTTTCTTTTGTTGTAAGTTTTCATGAAAAGAAATATTAAACACTTGCCAGCAAGTTGAAGTGTGTATAAAATTGGTTAACTATCTGGCATAAATTCCTCGAAACATATACTGAATCGACCAACAGGTGCATTGCCTCTGAGCCTCCATGGGACAATGCACTTGTAATTGAATACTATTGTATTTTCAGCATTTCAACTTTGTGATCTTGGAGGCCTTATAAATAATTCATTCCTCTCCCTACAGCTTAAAATTTCTTTAAATCCTAGATACAACCCAAGCTGGTGTATTGTGCTTTTAGGTAAAGGCAGTCCAAGTTTATTAAATACCCGTCACATGCATTCACTAGCCACATGCTCCTGTGCCTAACAATGTTTAGTCTGTAATAGGCTCTTGGTGAAAAATTAAGTTGAAGAGGAAGCTTCAGTCTGGAGAACCGTCCCAGCTGGCAAAAGTGCAGGATTACAAAGGGAATGGCAGCTAGTCTAGAATGGCAGGAGAGTATGAAAGACTACCAAACTCTCACCTCCTTCTCTCCCTTCTGAACTCTTATGGGGAACGTTATGTAATTGCAATCAGGTTCCATTTGAAAATACTCAAATCAGATCACCAAAGCTGTATTATTTGGGGATGCCTTTTTTTTTTTTTTTCTGATACAAGGTCTCTCTGTACAGCCGTAGCTGATCAGAAACTCAAGAGATCTGCCTGTTCTATCACTGTTACCTTGTAGTTGGAGAGCATTACTAAAATTAACATTAGTTTGTAAAGTGTTTTTCTTCCATACAGATATTATATGAACGGGATTTTTTTCCAGGTGTTAAAAGTCTGTGGATTGAGTTTTGAATGCTCAGAATGTCTTTGGCATGGACCTAGGTGTTCCATGACCACTTTAGATAAAATACAGGGAATAAGGATGTGTTGCTCAGAACGTGAAGACTTTTGAAGAAGGCGTGTATGGAGAGTATCGCCCTCCCCTCAGCACTGACTCTTTAGTCGCCAACATTTTTTAGTTTGGGTGTTTCTGTTGGTGGTGGTGTGCTTTATTTTGTTTTAAGCTCTCATTCTGTCGCTCAGGCTGGCCTTGAGTTCACGGCATAGACCACGGTGCCCTCCATCCTCTGGCTCACCTCCTGCCTGAGCTCCCTTCCAACCCACGGCACACCTCCTGCCTCGGGTCCCTACATGCTGAATTACAGATGTGCTGTCCCTACACAGGCAGGATTTTGGTTTGTTTGCTTGTATTCAATTGTTTGCTTGTTTTATTGTATTTTTCCCTTGAGTTTTCTTTTTCTTTTTCACTTTTGGTATTTTTTTCTTTTATTGAAAATAGATTTTTTTCTCACACATTACATCCTGATTATGGTTCCCCTCCCTTTACTCCTCCCCACCTCACCCCAGTCTGGATCCATCATTTTCATCTGCCGTTAGACAATAAGCAGGACTCTAGGGAATAATAATAAAATAAAATATAATGTAATAAGATTTAAAAAACACACACAGCAAACAGAAGAAAAAGAACCTGAGAAAAGGCATAAGAAGCAGATATAGATGCAGAGACACACGAGTGTTTGCACACTAAGGGATACCATAAAAACTCTAAGCTGGAAGTCATAAAACCTATGCAAAGAATCTGTAAGGTTAAAAAAAGAGAAGAAAAATATAAATAAATATATAAGACAAAGTCAAAAAAAGGCCCGATAGGACATTATGAGATAAGGAATCTCCAAAGACGCTGTTGAGTTCATTTTCTGTTGGCCATCTACTGCTGAGCAAGTGGCCTACCCCTAAGAGTGGTTTGCTTCTTCAGTAAGCCTCCCTTGGAGAAAACCAGACTTTCATTTGCTAATGGTTATCCATTGGAGATTTCTCCTGGGTTGGGGATGAGGGTTATATCTACTTCTTTTGCACTAGGACCTCATCCGGTGACAAACCATTCAGGCCACCATTTTTGGTATTGTGAGACAAGATCACACTATATAGGTCAGGCCGGTGATGCCCCTGCCTCAACATCCTGGTTTCTGGGATTCTAAATGTATACCATCACCCTCAGCTAAGAGATATTTTTTAAAAGGCATTGCAAATATTTTTTCCCTGTCTGTTTGTAAAAACATAGTGTGCTCAATGTTCCTTTATCTAGCCCAACACCGTGGAGGCATTGTTCTCCCTTCTATACCTGCAAAATAATCTGTCGTGTGCCTTATTTGACCAGTCCCCTACCGAGAGACATCTGATCTGTCTCCAGCCTTTCCTGTTGTGAACAAGCTCTGGTGAATTCCTTTGTGCAGACATCACTTTGATTACGGACAAGCGTATCTACAGACCATTCTCAGGAGTGGTGTTGCTGGGTAAAGGGGGTGCACGTTTATAATTTTAATAGAAAACTGTCCAAATGCCTCCATGACAGTAGCATAAGCTGATAGCCTTAACATTAAATCTTTCACAACTGAAAGCTTTCAGACATTTAGATGGCCACCTCAGAACATAAGGAGAGAAGGCAAGGATGAGGGAAAGGGGGCAACTGTTTGATTCCAGCTTCATTTTGTGCCCTACTGTAGGGCTCTCAGAGGCCTTAAAGGGATCATTAGTCCCAATTATAGCTGGAAAACGGAAGCTGTGTAGGGATGAGCAGCTGCCCCTGTGTGACCCAAAGCTCCTACTTTGCCCAGAGCCTCCAGTTCACCTGCAGTCTGGCCTCAGCCCTGCAGAACCTTGGATCTAACCATATCATGACCTTACCTGTAGGAAAAGTGGAGCCAATAACTATCACAAGTGAATGGTGAATAGATGGGACAGATGGATTGCCGGGGATTTATGGAGATAAGAGAACTCAGAAAAGCAGAAGAATGGGGATCCAGGCAACAACAGAAAGAAAATGAAAAGTAGCTTAGGCCACACTAGGCTAGGGGACTGCTGGGCGTATGGCAATCTCTCTGGCTTGTAGGAAAGAAAAGCAGTAAAACAAACTTGAAGTAAAGCACAACACTGTGCCAAGCTTCTGCAAGCCTGGCTCATCCAGGCTCACGCAGTCTCACAACATT